TTATCAGTGGGACTAAAGTTTACTCTTATAGAAGTAAAAGTAGTAATAGCACAGCGATGAAATACTCTGACACAAGTAAAAGTTCTGCATGCAAAAGTGAAACAGTATTAGCAAAATAAACTTTAAGTATAACAAGTAAAACTACTCATTCTGCACAACGACCCACTTCTGAATAATGAATGTACCAATTGATATTTATTATTGAAATATAATCATTAGCACATTATTGGGTACATCCCTTATATAATGCAAATGGGAAAGCAGGAGTTACAAAAAAAGAAATACAGCTTAGTGGCTCAGAATCCCCTCGGAAGTGTCCTTTTCACAAATATGTCGTAGAAAAAGTCGTACTAATAAAAAGTAGCTAATAACATTGTCTATTTACGATAAACGGCGTTGCACAGATGCACACAAACAACCTAACAACACCCCCCCCTCCCCATTAGGCCACTGCCATAATAATGTGTCCCAGTAGACCACTACGAGGACTGACCTCTGTCATGTTATTACACCATCTGATGCCATCGGCAGCTGACGCTCATGAAATCCAGTGAAGCATGCCAGCCATGCCATCACTGCCCTTTGTACGCGTCCCCACACTCCCTGAATACACTCACACTGCACCACGTCCCACAAATGTCTCATTCCGATTGTGTCAAAGGAGAATGGGGGTGACAGGTAAATGTGTTATCTCCCATTAAAACATCTGTCTATTTGGAGCTTTACAGTATGTCTTTGTATTGCTATGTTACAGTCAGTGCACTTGCATGACTCTGAGGGAAACCACTGACCTTGTGGTGTCACTGGAAAGTGAAATAAAGATCTGAAAAGGGCGGTGGCTTTGTGTAACCAGAAAGCTTTATGTTACCACGCCAAAAATAACTACATATCCAGGCATTTATAACAGGTGTATGACCTGGAATTTAAACCTAATTTGAGTGCGAGCCACCCAACAAAAATCTCATAAGTCAACTAAATCAACGCCCTGCTCACGTCATGTATACGCAGCAGTGGCATTCTTCAAATGTTATTGAAAGCAATGCTTAGTGTGCAGTTTCTAAATAAAAAAGGCTAAAATAAATATTTTATCATGCAATATTGTAGTTACAATCTACACAGAGAATTATCACCCATCTCCGCTGGTCAACCGAGCTCATTTAGTTCTTTATAGTTTCAGTTAAAATCTTGAATTTTGAAAATACAATTTCTAGTACTGAAACTTATGAGAATCTATCTTTCCAAATCTTTTGTTACCACAATCTTTTAATTAAGTTATAGTAAAACAAGCAACAGTTTTTTTAATGCGTCTTCCTTTCACCGCATTTGATTTGACTTTGTGTCAATATAGAATAGCGTATAGTGTTTATTGGTAGTATTTTCATGCTTTATTTGTGTTTTGTATATGTAGTGTGCATAGTATTCTGTTGTTTAACTTACTGTAAAGTTTCTTTATGCTATGCATCTGTGTTGATCATTCTAAACGCCATTGCATGGGATCAGTAAAGTTTATCTTGGACCATTTTATCTTAGATAAGGCTTTATGTTTTACTGAAAGTCGGACTAAAAGTAATGTTTTTTAAATGTATTTTGTAACTTTAGGTAAATAATTAGCATATTGCCTATACAAAAGAATCAGCTACATAGTTAAGCAGGCTTATCTCTAAACACTACATCTCCACAACATTTGGAAGTCTGTGTGAAAATCCTAATAGCCTTTTTTGATGTTAAGTCTAACCTGTGTAGTTTCCAGTCTAACCTGTCTTTAATGACCTGCTGGTTTTAATGCTTTTACTTCCATTTAACCACCACTGTGACCCTTTATTCTTTCCTCCAGGAGTCATTTAATTGTATATCATTTAAAACAAAAGTTCTCTTTTCACACTACCTCTTTAAGGATATGCATGGGACATTCAGCTGCATCTTGTCCTGTTTGCTGAGCTGTAATGCGGGGCCCCTGCTGCTTCGCACCCCTATTGTAATGCAGGCCAGGCTTTACAATCCACTCCTGGCCCGGGCCACTTCACACCTCGGTGAGCACTGCGGACCCCCGCTGAGTCTGCTTGGGATTCAATGACCACTCCTTTACAGGACACACACACACACACATAAACACTAGAGACCTACACACCTGCTACCCAAAGCAAATAACTCCCCCGTTTCTCCTCCAGCGCTCTGCTGTCCCATCTCTTTTGTCTTGCAGGTGTCCGTTCCAAGAGTCAAAAGGTGAGCAAATAGAGAACACGCCATGGCTAACCATTACTCAGAGAAGTGATGTCAACAAAGTTTAGACCGAAGAGGTCACCACTCGAAGAATGTGGACTTAATGACCATCAGGGGAAAGATAAATATTGTAGACATCATTAAACAGACAGAAGGTGGGGCAAAGATTTCTATAATGAGTTAGTAGGAGGTGGGGGTGGGGGGGGAAGACTTGTAACATCAAAGCATAGCATGACAACCATTTGCACAGTGAGCTCTCGGGTGGGGACTTTGGTTAGGAGGGTGTTGTGCTTCCACAGGAGTGGGAGTCATCAGAGCTTTTACCACTTCATCCCTCATCAAAAGAACAGCCTCTAAAAATAATTCAAAATGGTTCAACCCTAAAAGTGTCTCCGGCAGGTTTAATAGCAATATTTGCTCTTCTGGGCCAAAGTGTCTCAGTGGTAGAATAAAGACATTCATTGAGGTTTTCAAACATGACAACCCCTATTTTATGCATCATCAGATCATTAGTGTTATGAATCCTCTTGTGGAGGGAGACAGAACTGCAACCAACTACAACACATTTTAAAGGGGTAATGAGTGGGATTGTACTAAAAAACAATGTAAAGACTCGTAAAAAGTAATTGCTCAATCATCGGTGGCTCAATGTGCAGAAACACTCAAATGTGGCTGGGTTTGTGACGTTTCTGGGCTTACACTTCTATAAAAAACGTCTACCCCTAAAATGTAGGGAAAGGACAAATGCCATAGTGAGCACACATCCCAGGGAGGTACGAAAATGGTGGACACATCACCAAGTATTGTGATGAGAAGCGCTAAGCAGACAAAGATCGTTCCAAAACAAGACTGAAAGACTATTAAGAGCAGTATACATTGTAATGTATATAACAGTATAGGATCCTAGTAGGTCTACTTTTTCCACCAATGCACTTAGATACTTGCCCCTATATGCAAAATAAAGTTCAAGTATCTGATAACTGGTCATTCCAGCTATAAAAAAAACTTAATTTAAGTTTCTCTCTGGACTTGGCTACCAAATCAACAAAACATCAGACAAAACATAACTGTGTAGTCTGATACTGCTGAATGTTTTTCGTTCTGTCATCACGATGTACACCCACGATGACAGAGTGACTAGAATAACAGTGAATCATATTATAAGCTGCCATAACATATCTGATACTTTTCCCTCGACACCTCAGTCTCCCTGGACAAGAGACGCTTTGCATGCCACAAAAGCCACCTGTGTTCCCCCAGTTTATGTTTCTAAATACTGGCAGGGAAATGGCGTTCAACATGGGGAACAAGTGGGGGAGGACGGGGATGGGATGGTGAGGAATTGATAGTTTCAGGGCAATAGTGGTCTCAAAATGTCAGTGTTAATGATCACATAGAGAAGCAAACAGTGAAAGCATTGTAACTGCTGAAGCTTACCATCGCAGAGCCGTGCCTGCTACTGTGTGACAGCCGAGCTTGACAGGCACCTGTTGTGGATTCTTGCCCTTGACACCGCTCCGGCCCGCTGGGTGCTGGGCGGTGTTTGGTCTCGGTCTGACCCAGACTTGAACTGCATCACAGCTGTCGCAGCTCCACACAGCTATTCCAAACTCCTCTGGCATAGAAAGCGGTGCTGGATGCTACAAGGAGAGAAAGGAAGGTCTGCTTGAATAAATATGCCTCTGACAAGTCTAAAAATAAAAATACATTTTACATTGCATAACGATTAGTCTCATTTGGTTGTATGTTTCTCATGATATGCTGTTTCAAAGCACAACCTGAATGAATTGAAACAGAGGGACACTCCAGTTGTCCAACAACTACACAACGTTATTGTCTTGTGAGTCTGCAAAAGTTACATTTGCATCAGAAATGTTTGTTAATGTGAATATGCTGTAGTAATACAAATAACCAATATTTTGTTTGTATAAAACTGGATACTTTCTTTGCGATTTGGAAACATATTAAACTTTGGGTGATCTGTTATAGGCCTACAGTGACAAATACAATTTGGACAAACATGATGAAAATAATCTGTTGATTTGGAATGATGAATAAAGAAACTGCTTATACATTGTCAATTTGTATTCATACAGACATCATTCTACCCAATTCCACTTTTAGTATCTGGAACTAAGTCAGAATTGCTTGGCAATATAAAAACTGTGTGTGTAATAATAATAATAATAATAATAATGGGTTCCATTTATAAAGCACTTCATATTTGATTTCAAATCCCGAAGTGCTAGTGTGTGTGTGTGTGTGTGTGTGTGTGTGTGTGTGTGTGTGTGTGTGTGTGTGTGTGTGTGTGTGTGTGTGTGTGTGTGTGTGTGTGTGTGTATATATATCATGTATTCATCAAGGAATAACTTTCTTGTATTTTTTACATTTGTTTTTTTTAACATTTGCATTGAATGTATGTTAACTGTGTTTTTGCTGCAAATTATGTTCTCTCAATAAAGTTTTATGAACATTTTATGATTTAAAAATGAGAAAATTGTTATTTGTATACATCCCTTGAAATTCTTATTGATCTACCTATGAACAATTTAAAGAAGACATCTAAAGTTAGTTAACAAGTCCTGTTTTATTAGTCTTTGTACTAGTATGTAGTGCCATCTGCTGTTTAATCGGTGTAATTACTTCACTGTAGACCCAATAACAGTTTTCAGTGAAGAGATAACGACGACTGAAAATAGAGGGAAAATGTTGTAAGGTGAGGTAAAAATCTAACCAAAACTTTAAATTAAAACTCAAACAATGTGACATATTCCTCCTAAAGCAGGACTAGATACGTTTGTAAGTTAACTAGTGGTAATTAAAGTCGTTATTTTAAAATAGGAAAACTAGTTATTTTTGAGCGTTTTGCAACGAGCAAGGACATTTACAACTAAATCGCTCGTGCGTTCAAAAAAGCGCGACACTCTTTCGAGACTCAGACGAGAAACAGATACAAAAATACGTTTGGAAAAGTTTGAAAACTTAAACAGACAGCCATAAACTTAAGACACGAGATTCAAGAAACACGGAAGTGGGCCCACCTTACCGCAGAGTTGCAAAGGTGAGGGAGTGGCCACCTGCCGCCTGCTGCTCGACTACAGAGAGAGAATCTGTCAGGCCCGGACTCTCGAGAGCAATAACACTTTCTGCAAGGCTTTTATCCCTACAAGAATTACACCAGAATCAGGTAAGGTGAAATATTAATATACGCTTATGTTTATTACAGCAAAGGGATTTACAACTTCTGCTGAGGTGAGCTTTACAATTTACACAACTGCTTGCAATGGGCCCACTTGTACAGGGGTTAACGGCAAAAACATATACGCCTGCATTACAACCACTTCACGAATTTAAAAAGTGTAGATGATTGCTGTTTGTAAAAAGCAAGTTTTTTCCTCCACTCTTATTTCCAGTCTTGTTGGGATAATGGAAGTTTTTGGATGTCAAACTTGGCTTTTAAGCTTGAATACTTGTATTTTCTTTTTCATGGTAGTGGTAGTGTTTATAATGGCACAATGTAAAGAGCTAGCTGCCATTCTCTCCCCAGATAGAGGGAGAAATCTTCATTATTACAGCAAGTCTGTGCAGGTGGAGCAGCAGCAGCAGCCACATTCCAGTGCCTGGGGTCATGACGGTGCAGTGTGCAGACCCTCTGAGCACAGCACTGTTTAGAGAGCTCAATACCTGCCTGTGTTGACAAGAACCTACCAGGAAAACCCTTTTCCCTTATCTACTGCCCTCATTCTGTCTTTATTAGGAAAAACTGTCTCTTGACAATGCCCTGACTTTCAGGGCATTGTCATGACTGCATGTCATGACAGATTCTGTCAAGGATGTTGTGTCTTCATTTTCACTACTATGCAGTTTGCAAAGAGAGAACAGGGTTACACCTTTGTAGTCAACACTGGACTTTTCAGATATACAAAAACAATCACTATTGACTTTTCTCCACTAAGTAGTTGACATGTTACAGAACAAACAAACAAAAAATGTTTTCAATTGAATTGCTGAGATTTGAATACATTTTTTTTAGGTTTGGATTTGCGAATATACATACTTAGGGAAACATTTCCAAGTTGAAAATATATAATTGTCGGACATAAAGATATCGAATTTACAATGGCAAAAACCCCAGAAAAGTGACACATTCTCAATACAGAACTATAGAATGTTGGCAGTTTTTAGTTATATTTACAGAATACTATATTTAATCCACTATTATTTGCTGCAGCTATAGATATCAAAGTATATATCTACAGTAAGCGAACATCCGTTGTCATAAACAGCTTGAAAAATGTATTGATGTCCTCTCTCTCTCATGTACAGCCTTGTTGAAAGTGGAAGCTTCTCCGCCAGCTGCTGTGGAATTTTAATCTCAGTTTTCACAATTTGTCATCCTGTATCAGTCCCTGTCATTCACCTCATAGTATGTTTTGAATAAGAAACAGGAGTTAAGTTAGGGAAGAGTGGCAGCAGTAATGAGCAGGAATAACTCCTCATCTAGACAAATGTTTGGGTGCTGAATATTCCTGTTGCAGTGTTTGTTGTGGCTGAGTGTTGAAAGGGTTCGTTCACTCCACCTTGGTTTCAGTTTTGTGATAAAAAATCTCCCTTGGGAACAGTCGTTACCATAACAACTCAAGTGCCAGCATGACAGTGTGGAGAGAAGCAACATCACTGTGTGCCTGGAAAGTGTCTCTTTTGTTCACCTAAAAAAAACTAGAGGGATGTTAAAAACACGTAGAAGAAAGGACTTCATGCCCGTCAGTGAATTTAATTATGGGCTTTTGTTGTTGACAAGACTGTCCTACTCTAAGAAATAACTAGAACATTATTGTCCAACTGAATTACAGCAGCATGGCACGATGCCAAACACATGCCTTATTTGTCCAACTGATTTGTAAAAAGAACTACATGAAATATTCAGCAAAATAAGCCAAACTTCTCATATTATAAACGTCATCTAAAATACAAGTAACTGCCAAACAATTGAACAAGAAACAGTATGAGAATGGCAAAATTATTAATTTAATCCATAAATACCTGATTAAAGAATAAGTAACCAAGACCCTGGATCTTACTAGGCATTTGCTGGCAACTTTAAACACCAGACTTTGACCCATATCTATCACACTTTCCTCAACAAACACTTAATAAAAGCAAAGTTATGAGTTTACATGTTCTTTGCTATGTGTGAGAGCAATAAGACACATTTATGAAGCAGCTTACTCCTTCTTGTTAGTGTAAGAGGAACCTTTAGGAGCAGCTCTCGAATGAGGGACCCTAAATTTACCAGATTTAACATGTTAAAACCTTTGTTAAGCAATACGTTTAACTACATTATTTTATTATCTCCTCTAGCAATTTACACGTGACATTAACAACAATCTAAAGTATATTTATGGAAGAAGAATGTATAAATAAGGAGGAAATAATTGCCAAATGACTCCAATGGAAACGGTTGTGTTTCAGTCCAAATTACTGTGTTTTCAATGCCCCATTTTTCTGTGTTTTAGTGATTAGGTGTTAGAATTAAAACTAGACAAAGATCAGGTCTCACACACAAGAAGTAGACTGGAGGTCAAATGTCTTTCTTTGTTGTTTTCTATCATAGCTGACAAACATTTTGGCACAACAGATTTTGCAATTCCGTCTAAGCACATGTAGAAATCTGTATGTATGTATCTCTCTAGGATGACTCATTGTTTCTCCCATGTGAGCCAAGGAATGTATTTGTATATCCACCACCCTACATACTTCCATTAATGGACGTTTTTCTTAGACGTAATCCTAAACTTCACCCTCTTCCTCCTCAATCTCCCTCTTGTCAGGCCTCCCACACCCAGGTGATGGTGCAATGTGCCGGCCATGCTGCACACTCATCCTGTCTCTCTTTCCCTTTCTCACTACACACACACACACCCACACCCACACACACACCCACACACACACACACACACACACACACACACACACACACACACACACACACACACACACACACACACACACACACACACACACACACACACACACACACACACACACACACACACACAAACACACCCACACGGCTCTGCTGGGGAATTCATGGCCTCAGGCTAACAAAACACAACCCTGTCCGACAGCGGCAGAAAGCCCTGAGAGAAACTAACACAGCTCAGCTTCCTCGCAGCAGTGTAACAGCATGGAGCTTTATTTAAAAGAAAACACCTTCTGACTCTTATCTGACGGACACTTTCGTGAGGTGGGTAACCAACAGAAATCTTTACCTCAAAGCTAGGTGAGCTTTTTAAAAAAATATTTAGCCCAGTCTTAGCTGAGTCAGCCCAGAGGTTTGAATGACAGAATATTAATGAGAGAGTAGAGAGTCAACTTATGTTCGGGGCTTAAGGTCAGACCACTTCTTGATGTATTTCCCTGCTTTTTTATTTAATCCATCAGTTTGTTGCTGCCCCAATCAATGTTTGATGAAACCTTCATGAAAAGTTCAATCTAAGTTTGTGCAGACTTTCAGCTTGTCCAGTGTGCCTGTGATTGTGTGCTCAGCTTTTTATGATGTTTGTTTCCATTACCATGTTTGTTTAAAGCTAAGTGGCTGGAGCAGGATCTGCTGTTGCTGGGATTTCTAATGTGGTATTTATGTCTTAAAGGAATAGTCACACATTTGGAAATAACTAATTTGTTTTATGCCAGGGGTTGGATTTTTAACAAGAATAACACCACCCTTTTTTCTGTTCATAATGTAGCTGTCGCTAGCAGCTGGTGAGCATAGCTTAGCACGAAAACAAGGGGCATCAGCTAGCCTGCCTCTGTCCATAGCATCTGGAAGCTTATAGCTAATGCGCCAAAGTGTAAATTAGGAAGTCACTGCTAACTAACTAAGCATGTTTCACAGTGAGATTGAGTGGTGCTGGTGGGCAGACATTGTGATCCTGGGACAGGGCCAGCCTTAAAATACAAGTTTTTTTTCAACTGTCAGCCAGAAATCTCCTCTTCTATATTTTGAAGGTTTTTATCAAGTGGTATGTCCATGTATCATTAATAGCCTGATTAATATAACATTTAATACGGTAAAACTGCTTTTTATTTGATTGCTATTGACAGATTTATGGATGGATACAAAGAGATATCCCCATTTTTCTAACCTTGCTCTATCCAATGTTTATTCTGGAAGTGTATGCGAGTTTGAACATTGCTCAATTGCATATTTAGAAATACAAATGAACTGTGGAGGTTTCATGGTGATATTAGTTAAATATGTCACCCTATTCCCCTTTAGACTCCCTTGAAGAAGGGCAGTAGAGCTGCTTCCCTGCTACATTTGGAGTTCTTCTCCTCACATTCTTGCATAAAGGAAAAATCAACAAAGGTTGCATAACGGCTCCGGTTACTACATATCCGGTTAGTCATAACTGTTGTTTGGTTTCCGAACAGATTTAAGGTGTTGTTTTGTTTTACAACACTCTTCTGTCAGCCTGTACACAGGTAGTTTCCTTTCAACAGCACATACGTAATAACGTTTAAGTTGTGTTTGTATTTTGGGAGAAGTGGTGATTTGTAGGAGTTTTTCTCGCTGATTTAGAAGATACAAGTCTCCACACTGACACAAGTTTTCTTTGCGAATCACTCAGGCCCTCACTTGAAATCACGGTTAGGAAGGAATGTAATCAGCGGATCTCAGAATAAAATGATATGAGTCACTGCATGGCACAACCTCACAGCAAGAATGTTAAGTGCAAGTGCAGTGCTATAAAGAAGTCACAGTACTCTTGTGTTAAAGACACATTGTCAGTTCAGTTAAACCTGCTTTACCTGGAACACAGTCTTAAAAACAGCACATTATTATACAGAACATGCTTTGTAAACTTCTGGGTGGAAGTGTTGGAGCCCTGATGGTTGACTGATGACTTGTTCCCTTTGTCTTTCGAACAGAATGAAGTTGATATGATGGTGCCAACCCAGCCTTGAAAATGTATGAGGTGATGTCCGGGGAGACCCTGTCCTGGAAGGTACCAAGTCCAAGACCGACCAGCGCAGAGTCCAACCCTGATTCGCTAACGGCCGGGGAGGGAGGCCCCGTCAAGATCCTCAAAGTGTGCTTCTGCACCAACAACAACCTGGGCAAGAACTTCAAGCTGGTTAAATGTGACAGCTCCTGGCAAATTAGGGTGAGAGGAATCGACAGAAATATGGGGAAAGGAAGTGTAGTTTCAGATGTCAGTGATAGGGAAGTCGTGTTTATCTGATATACTTTAGATTACAAATTCACATTTCATAACATACAGGAAAGTAAAACATCCTTTATCAGTGCACAAATAATCTTGTTCTCTTTCAGTGAATGGGAACCACCAGAAATGATGGTCTTTCGGTGCTTCATCTCATAATTTGTTATCCTTGAACCACTAGAATTAGCTTGAAGGGTTATTGAATATTCATGATATTTCGAAAGATAAATGCTGATTCTGCGTCCTTCAGGCCATCATCCGTTCGATCCTGATCTGTGGTCGGTTGGGGCCGAACATCGAACACTCGGGATGCTACGGCCTCCTGCTGAAGCACCTGAAGTCAGATGAACTCCACTGGCTGCACCCAGATCTGACGGTCGGGGAGGTGGAGCAGCGCTACGAGAGCAATCACATAGAAGCTGAGTGGAGGTACAGGCCCTCTACCAGGACGTAATGTTGCTTTATTCATCGACAATGCAAAGTCAGTTTATGCAAGTAAACACAACATTAAAGTGAGTTTAGCTAGTTGAAAGAATCAGTAAAACACTTCACTTTAACTTTCCTTGTGTGGTCGTTTCAAACTTACAATCCTTCATTTTTTCTAATTAAATAAGAAATTAGTTGTTTTTCAGCTGCAGTATGCTGTATGCAGCAGAAAGGCATAACTGAGTTAACTTTAATATCTGTCTATTTATCGCAAATAATATTGTAATTTAGATATTTTCCAACCTATTTGCATATTTTGACCATATCCTTTAATGATATTGTGTATCCCTAATTTAAAAGTGATCTGTTGAGAGACAACGTAAGTGTTTTTATATTAAAGTATGGCATTTTATAAACATGCATGGTGTATCTTTTTTTTCTCAACTGCAGGTATGACCTTCGTATCAGATACGTTCCTGTCAATTTCTTGGAAAAATTCAAAGATGACAGATCTACGTTAGTGTTTTTTTACCAACAGGTAACAAGCTACTGTATTTTATGTTTTACTTTTGGGCTGGCATAGAATAATTTTTTGTCAATGGATATTAGCAATCATGTTTTCATACCTGAAGAGCAGCTGTCAGTGTGTGTACTGGAGTGGTTTTGTGTGGATAAGGTTTGATTTTACTTTAGGTGGCACTCTTTTTGTTTGAATGAAATCTACAAATAATATTATAAAACCTTCAGTTCTGTTAAAACAGGAATGGAAACAAAAATGTACAGATTAACTAATCAGCAGCTTTTAGGATTGAGCAGTGCCTACAAATATGTGCTGTTGGCTAATATTCTCAATATAAACAAACAGTCAGTTAAAAAATACATATAAAAAGAAAAAATGATGCCAACATATCCAAATTATTTTATGAGATGTCCAGTATAACATTGCTATTTATTGTTAATCTGATTTCTCTGTTTTATTTAATGGCAGGTGCGTAGTGATTACATGCAGTGTCATGCCTCTAAGGTCAGTGATGGGATGGCGCTGCAGCTCGGTTGTTTGGAGATCAGGTCAGTCAGCTCAGTCCTTTCATTCTTCTGCCCTCAAATTTCTTTAAGTTCGTTATATTTCTGTAACTTGTTACTTGTTTTACCTTTGTCAGGAGGTTCTACAAAGACATGAATGCAAAAGGTCTCGAGAAGAAGTCCAACTTTGAGCTGCTAGAGTAAGTGCAATTCATCTTCTCACTGTCATTTTTGTGAAATACAACCCAATTCATTATTTTGAGCTTTGAGTTAATTAACCCTGATGGATCCTGTTGAATAAACCTTTAAGAAGCTTGACTTTATTTGTGTAGTTCATCAAAATAGGACATTTAAAACATGACGTTTTTAAAAAAATGTTAAGCAAATTTCTTTTTTTATTTCAACAATTCTTCTGACTTTTCCTTTACAAATCTAGAAAAGAAGTGGGCCTGGACCTCTTCTTTCCTCCACAGCTTATAAACAGCATGAAGGTAAACCATCCTTACCAAGACTTCAATTCTTAATGAGTTGAGTCAGACCTAGATCTTCATCAGTGTACCTAAAATCATATGTTTAAATCCCCCTGCTTGTGATCCAGTCGAAGCAGCTACGGAAGTTGATCCAGCAGACGTTTCAACAGTACGCAACACTCAAGGAGGACGACTGCATGATCAAGTTTTTCGAGACCCTCAAAGAGTTCGCCACTTATGATGAAGAGGTTTTCCCGTGTGAACTTGTGGTGAGTGGCCCCCTTAATCCCATGCTTATAAACAGCATGTTCTCCAAGCCTTAATCGGCTCGGTTTCACATTAATGTTAAAAACGTTTAAGAACACTCACTTGTCAACAGCAAGGTTGGAGTCTAGCGGTGGAGCTGGTCATCGGTGGGAGGGGGATTCGCCAACGCACACAGAAGGATTCAGCGGTAAGCACAGCAAGATTTCAGTATAGCTTTTGAGGAATCAGAAATCCTTTATTTGTCCAGAAACGGGGAAATAAACATGATTACAAAAGCAGAGGCTAAGTATGCACACGTTATGTTATGTTTTTGTGTATTATATATCTAATCTATCTAGCTAAATACTAGATTTTTTTTATAGAATAGTTGGATATTTGAGTTATGTTAGTTAAATGAGAAGAATGATATTGCTTTACTTTTCAGTCGGTTAGCTTAGCTTAGCATACAGTCTGTAAACAAGGGGAAACAGGCAGCTTAGCTCTGTCCAATATAAACTAATCTGCTTATCAGCATCTCTAAAATGTAATGATTAACTTCCTGAGGTCTACTCTGACTAGCAGTTTCTCAAGGCCAAGAAGTCATCCAATGCATAACCCCTCATCAAACCATATTATATTTGTATACATTCTTTGTACTCATGAAACAAACCAAAATAAGATACAACCTATTACTTATGATATTGATACAAATCTGAGAGTTGTTTCAATCCTCTCATTTCCAAAGATGTCAAACTGTTCATTTAAAGCAATCCTATAATTTATGGAAATACCATATTTTTCCCTTTAGTCTGATAGCATAAATGAAAGCTGCTGGATATTTTGTGTCTAGAAATACATTTTCAAAGATAGTTATCTTGCCATCAGTGGATGCTACATCATTATAAATCTAACACAGTTTCTCTAAGATAATCAGCCATAATGATCATCTTTTTGAATCGCTTTTTTTTGTGTGGCTCAGCCTTCTTTCCTAGCCGACTTCAAACAGATCAAGAAAATACAATGCTTATCTCAGGGCGACGGCAAGGCTCTCTTAGACCTTTTCATAGAGGGGGCCCGACAAGTAAGTACACTATCTACCTATAATACAATATTACTCTGGACAGTGTTAAGAATCGCAATGGCTGAATAAGTAAATATCATTTCTAAAGAGAGTGTCTGCACAGGAAATTTGACATGTGCTTACATCGCCCTTTTCCCCCGTTATCTGATAGCGTCTGTCAATCAACGTGGCCACCGTCCCTATGGCAGAGAACATGATGGACCTTATTGACGGGTACAGCCGCTTGGAGAATGACACGGATGATTCTATTATCTACCGGCCAAATAAAGGTGTGTACGTCTCTGCCACTTCCCCTGTTGCAACATCACCTTACAACAGTTATGATGGAGCTTTAAAAGCTACATAAAAGTATGAAAATTGCATTATATAAACTGGAATCATCTCATTTATCTGATCTCATTTCCCTCCTAGATGCCAATACACACGCCCTGCCTGAGATTCCCACAGAGTGAGTAGATGTTTGGCTGTTTTACAACTTTGAATGATTTGTGTAGCTGCAGAGTCTGTACTGTTGTAATAGGAAATGAGAAGATATTGAGTTATGAGAGTTATTGATGAGAAAGGCTGTTTTATTGAATTCTGTCAGCGCTCTGAGGAGCTATAAGTTGACAATTTATGAGCGGGGCTTTCTCTCATTCTGTCTTTTCTCTGAAGCAGCAGAGACACCAGCTCGATCAGACACAGCATGGGTGAGCCGACAGTTTTAAAAGTTTAACTTCTCTGTTTAATACAATATGCAGAAAAGTCCAAACTTTTTGTCCTTTACCGAAACAAAGAAAAACACAATGGTCTTTTTTTTGTATTTTCAGGGTCTGATATCTACTGTGAGATTATGGATGAAAGGCCCAGATCAGGTTAGTTGAAAGTTTGTATTCATATATTTAGCAGAATAATAACTCTCCCTTTTGAACTTTCATGAATGTACATCTTTTTTGGTAGTTGTTAAGTACGGGATCGACCGAAGCGACATTGTTCTTGGCCGAATCCTTGGTGAAGGTTTTTTCGGGGAAGTCTACGATGGAGTTTACAAAAAACTAGTAAGTGTATCTTCCTAGTTGAAGTACATAAATACCACATAAAAGAAATAGAAAAAGTAACATAACAATCTATAAACTAACTATAATGGATTAATATAATTAATAAATTGCTTACCAGGAGACACAGTTGCTGCATTAATATGTAGTAGAATATTTGTAACTTTGTGTTAATATGCATTACATGTAAAGTAGGGCTGCAACTAAATATCATATTCATTATCAATCACAATCATCTCAAGCCTAAATGAATATTTACAGATTAAACGTTTATAATTCCAAATCACCAAAAACACAAGTTAACTGTATTAAGACATAGGAAAGCAGTACATTTGTGACAATTGAAATGCTCGAACAGGAAAATGTTACATGTTATTGCTTGAAAAATGACTTAAAATATCAATAAACTATTCAAATAGGTCACAAAATATTTTTCTGCTTGTGTAAATCTCACTACTTCCCATTAAATTGGTGTTATTGATTCAACAGAATGGAGAGAGGACCAATGTGGCAGTGAAGACCTGCAAAGACTGCTCACCTGATGTGATGGAGAAGTTCATGAGTGAAGCAGGTAATTAAAGAAATGCGTAGAATATGTAAGGGATAATGTGCAGCGACGCGGTCATTATGGGGAAAAGAACACCTTCATGCAGATCTAGATCCCTCCGCTTCGCGTCGGGCTCCTGATCAGCCTGTCGGTGTTCTTTTCCCCATAATGACCAAGTCGCTGCACATTATCCCGCTTATTACATGGCCACATTCTCAACAAAGTAATGATATGACTCCCAATATTAATTGAAATGCTTTTATGGATTTAGAAAATGATTTTATTGATTTAAAAAATAGTTGTATGTATTGATTTAAATTGACATGCATCCGCTAAGGAAAATAGTCTGTTGTTACCGTTTGAAAAACGTAGCAACGGCAGGAAGGCGGAGCTTTTTGATTACAGATTTGAAAACATCGTTGCTTGCTTTAAAAGTAGCACAATTCATTATGTCAAACCTTGGAAAGTATCTAGATATCCCTGCCCTAATGCCAAAGTAACTGGCAACTGAATATGTGTCGCCGTTTGATGTCTATGTCTGGACGCTGCGTAAAAAGGAGGGTTTCTGCCCGTTACTTCTCCGCTGTTTGCTTGTCGCTCTTGTCTTGTCAGTTAGAAAAGCAAACTGCATGCAGTTTGCTTTTCGGCCAAAACTGTATACACAGTTAAATCGAACGGACTTCTTTGTGCAGATGTGAGCGTCCTTAACAACGGTCAATAAGTCCTTGACAGCGGTCTGTCTGTTCTGGATTAACAACGTGTCACGTGTTCTGAATTGACCAATCAGAATCGAGTATTCAACTAAGCCATGTAATAAAATGAAATAAATGTGATAACAACTATAACGCTGTGAACTTTGTGTGTATGCCAGTAATTATGAAGAACCTGGATAACCAGCACATTGTCAAACTGATTGGCATCATAGAGGAGGACCCTGTGTGGATCGTCATGGAGCTGTATGAGCATGGAGAGGTAAGTGCCATGTTCATTTAAACTCAGCGGCAACTTTATTAGGTTCACCTTTATACATTTAGATCTGGTGACTGTGGGGGCCGTTTGAGTACAGTGAACTCATTGTCATGTGAAACCAGTTTGAAATTATTTGGGCTTTGTTACATGGCGCATTATCAGAATATGGGTGCACTGTGGTCACTAAGGGATGGACATGGTCAGCAACAATAGTCAGGTAGGCTGTGGTGTTTAAACAATGCTCAATTGGTACCAAGGGGCCCAAAGACTCTTACTTTCTTTCTTTCTTTCTTTATTAAAAACCCCCATTAGCATAGCTTCAGGATTAGCTATACATATTAGCTTCCTGGGGACCATATACAGTAAAACACATCAGATAACACAGCTCATCTCATTGAAGTAAAATTCAAGTACAGGAGAGAAACAACAGTGTTTTTCCTTTTAACAAACATTTAGCCAAACACATCAAAACTGTAGTTTATAGTTACATATGCTTCCTGTGCAGATTGTGAAAGTAACTTTCTGTCTCGCCTGTATGTTGCAGCTGGGGAACTATCTGACCCAGAACCAGAGTACGCTGACTGATATTACGCTGGTGCTGTTCAGCCTGCAGATCTGCAAAGCTCTGGTCTACCTCGCAGGGGTCAACATGGTACACAGGTGGGGGGCTCCACTTATTATTTTTGTGTTGCTATCCAGGAGGTAGAGAAGCTGCTGTAGGCTTTAAACTTTTACATTTACATTTCTCAAATAATAGTCATGATTCAAAATCCATTTTTCCAATCACTTCACACATCCTCCATAAATTGATGTATATAAACGTATACATACTATATATACAATATTGCTATGTTTTGAGTTTCGGGGTTACAGTATGTTCCTGGAATACTTTCATAAATCTGAGCCTGATTAGTGCACAGTGTTGATTCACAGGACAAAGGCAAGTTGACAGCTCAATAGATGAATACAGCTAGAAAAACAGCATCTGGAGGCAAAGTGGAGTCATATAAGGTAGTGACAATAGAAAAAGAAAATGTCATTTCAACTTGAATTATTTATACTAACACCAAACATGACAGAAAGTTGATGTCAGAGATGTTTCGCTGAGTTGTTTCTTCAGACTCCTGTCAGCAGATGTCAGGCTTTAAAGCAGCCACTCTGGATTTAATCTGCTGTGAAGGGAAACACAGACAAAGGAAATTACTTTCTGCCTGTGTGGAAAATGCAAAGATTCCTTTTTTATTGTTTTCTGCTCCAGTCGTGGCGGTACAACAGTGGTTGAGAAGCGAGTTCAGGTTAATTTGAGAGGGCTTGGGGCCAGTAAAGACCCTCTGGATCATTTCCACTTCCACCATGTCCATCTGTAAACTTTGGTTTTCTGTTTCAATTGTATTTTGTTACAGAGACATTGCTGTGCGGAACGTGCTAGTTGCCAGTCCAGACTGTGTGAAGCTCGGGGACTTCGGTTTGTCGAGATACATTGAGGATGAAGAATACTACAAAGGTAACGAAGGCACAAACCAGTATAGAGAAAACGATAAATAATATTTTTAGAAATTGTACCCCTTTGTATCCCTGTTAAAAAAAGAAAACTGTAGACAACTAAATATTGTTATCTCCTTTTTCCCTGCAGCGTCTGTTACTCGGTTGCCAATCAAGTGGATGGCCCCAGAATCCATCAACTTCAGACGCTTCACCACAGCCAGCGACGTCTGGATGTTTGGTGAGCCTGTGATACATAAACACACTGTGTACAGACAGGAAAACACACACACACACACACACACACACACACACACACACACACACACACACACAGATGGCTAATGGCAGGCAGCTGGTTAATCTTTAATCCAAACAAGCACTGCATGAACCGATGTCAGAAGGAGTAGTTATGAGTGTATGAAGTACTGTAGGTGTGTTGGTGAGCTAATGTGGAAACAACATGGACGCTTCAAAGAAGATGTGTCCTATTTAATTGCTCAGTGTGTTTAAACAACACAATATTTGTTTTTCTAATTGTCCCATCTTGAAGAGTGCTTTCAAGGGAATTTCCCTACCTTTGAACTCATCTTTTTCAGATTATTCTGAATGCAGGACAAATGCCTTCTCGCAATGGTAGCTAAATGGATATAAAATGTATGCATCAGCATTGTGACTCCGAACTGCTCTAAATGTCATGCAAAATCGTGCCAGTACTTTTTCCTTCATCCTGCTGACAGACAAACCGAGATAAACCGATCTGAAACATTACCTCCATGGCGGAGGAAAGATGATCTGGTTATTGAATGAATCTTTACCTGTCTCCACTTCATCAGAACTATGTTGTGCTCCAATACGTAGCCACACTGTGATGGCCTTCTCTGGTCCATTTCATACAAATAGATTCATCACAATCAAATAATTGAAAATAAACATTCTGGATCTACTACATTTCTATTATTTTATTCAAGGCAAAAAAAGGCATGAACAATCTGATTGTATGGTCTTTAAAGTAAAGCATTAAGATAAAACACTTAAATCTAACATTTTGTTGCCCTCTCGATTGAGCTGGAACATATGAACTATGTTAATTTAATTGTTTTTAATCTGTGTAACACACTTGAGATTCATTTATTGTGTGGATTCTCTGAGCTTCAATTCAGAAAAGTACTGTGTGAATAAGAAGGTTAAGATTGAGTTTGAGTCAGTTTAGTTTCTCCTATAAAAAAGGGAAACGTATACTGAAAGAAGGAGAACCAAAGAACATAGCCTTAAACACAAACAAGTGTACTCGAGGGACCCAAATATAGCAATGGGATAATAATATATTGAGGAACATAACATGTGTTTTCTCTGTTTGCATTCCCTGATAGCTGTCTGTATGTGGGAGATCATGAGTGTTGGACAGCAGCCGTTTTTCTGGCTGGAGAACCGAGACGTGATCAACCAGCTGGAGCAGGGCATCCGGCTGCCCAAGCCCGACAACTGCCCCCCCGCCCTCTACTCACTGATGACCCGCTGCTGGTCCTACGACCCCAGAGAGAGACCCAACTTCACCGAGCTGGTGGTCAAGATCAGGTACCTCTTTACTCAATATCAACATAACTTAATGGAGTGAAATGTATTAAGATTGGTTCAGTTTGATAAGCCATCAAAGTTCATACAAATATATTTGAAGTGTTTTGCTCATGTAAATTGTTAGAGATTCTCAGTCTGTAATTTCTGATGAACAACAAGGAAAAGGTTACTCAGATTAATTTCTATATAGAATTAGAGCCATTAAATATACTAAATGAATATGATATAATTATAATAAAAAATATTTAGAGATCAGCTGTTCATAAAAAAATGGATAGATCCAAATTAAGTGATTTAGAACGGTGTAAAGTTATCTGCAATAACAGTCTATAAGATGTGTTTTTCTACATCTCTTAAGACATGATATACAATAATGTGTTGTCTGAAATGTGTCAGCGATGTCCACAATATGGTGAAGGAACAGGAAGTGGAGAGAGAGAGGGACAGAGCACGCTCCACTAAACTCTTCGACCCCAAATTCAACTTCAATGGGCCTCCTCCCAAGGTACTGTCAAAGTCAGCCACATTTTCAAAAAATGTAATGTTTTAAATTAGTGCGTGTTTTAATACCTCTCCTAAATAATTGCTGTAGCCATCAAGGATGAAACCAGGGCGGTTCGGGAACATGCTCAGTATCGGTCTGCACATTCAGGTACAGTAACCTCTCACCTGTTTAACCCAAGATCACAGGCTTTACTTCAAAAATGTATCCATGTGTTAATGTGTGTGTGCATGTGTGTGTGTCTGTGCAGCTGAACGAGGCGTTATGTGCCAGCTCCCCTGACCTGGCCAGCCCGTGTGAATACCAGACCCCCGTCGACTCCATGAGCACTCTCACGCTGCCGGGCAGGTCTCCTCGCCGCCGCAGCATGGCGGTGAGAAACCCAGCGCATTGTCTAACATTTCTAAAACGTATCTGAGTTTGTGTCTATTTTCTTACATTTGAAGTTTACTTTTAGTTTATTTGTTTATAGTGTCGTGGACAGCCCCCATTGATCAACTGTCACAAAAAACTGTAAATGGGGCGGCTTTAGCAAACATTGCTCATTTCCAGCTGTTGTCCCCGGCCAGATGATAATGGACACCCTTAAAATCACAATATATCAACAGCATTAGTTATAAAAAAAAGGATGAAAGATAAGTAGATACAGGCGAAAGGATAAAAGAGAACAATAAAATGCAAACAACACACGTTACTACATACATGTCACATATAGCACATCACAATCACATAACAGAAACATGATCACAACATGTAACACACACGCCACATCCAACACAGACTAGTGTGTGCAGGTGTAGTTCTCAGTTGTGTTTAACAGCTAAAGTTCAAAGTGAATGCATAAGAGACCCAAAAAAAGGCTCTATCTGTTAAATATCCATAATTTTATTTTAAAGTTATATTCCCATTATTTGTAGGAGGGCGAGTTTTTCCGAGTGGAGCCGAACAGCAGGGAGGACGCGGCGCGCCTCTGGCAGAGGGAGCGGCAGGACATGCAGCACACTCTCCGCCGGCAGAAGGAGCAGATGATGGAGGATGAGAAGTGGCTGGAAAAGGAGGAGAAACTCCTGGTGGGAAACAGAGCATCATTCTCTTTTGTCAACCCCCTCTCTGTGTCTCAGTGTCCCCCAACTCAATTCACTCTGGCCCTGGAGGCTACGTGGAACGAGGCATCATTAAACAAAATCGACCCACTCGTTCACTCTCAACGCCACACTAGCTTTAAATTGAATGTCCCCCTGATAACAGTTCCGAAGAGGGGGCCCATGACCTTATTCTATAAAATGAACCTGCCTGTTCTTTTTCAGGACCCCATGGGACCAGAGGACACTGCGGGCCCAGCGGTAGGTCCCCCCCCCCCCCTTCAAACTGTTTTCTTTCTAAATATACAATTGTTTTCCCATTTGAAGAGTGTCAAAAATATATAGGTTGTTCAAAGCTACACTACTTTTAACAGTGTATGTAAACTACATGATATTTCCAATGCAGCTATAATGAGTTAGAACACTTTTTTCAGGTACTTCTCTAGTAAAGTAAGCTATATTGTTCAAATTGGAAATAAAACCAATAAAGGTACAACGATGACAATTTGTGATCACTGAAAAGGAAAAACAAAACAAACACTTTTTAAACTCCAAAATACAAAAAATGAACACAAATGTCAATCTTGTTTTTCTCCTCCAGTGATCAAATTTACATATAAAAATGTGCATTCTTGTCAAGATACTTAATTCATACATTGCTTTTTTATGGTATGAATATTAAAAGTAGCATTTATAGGAAATAGGAACAACTATATCCCAGGGAAACAAGTGGTATATAAGCATATTATTTTATTTTATAGTCCTCATGAAATTAATCTCTTTCTATTCTTTTTAGTCCCCTGAAGCTGACACTGAGCATGGTAAGCGCTCAAAGGAAATGTATAAATTCCCATTTTATATTCACATAGTCGTTCTGAGGGTTAATTTCTTTCTAAACCCTCCTGTTCTCTCTTTCTCACATTGTTCATCTTTCTGCACTGCAGCCCCTCCAGAGAAGCCCCCTCGGCTCACAGCACAGGTAGTTATATTAATTCATCTTTGGGATTATAATATCTTTTAGTATTCTGAAAAAGATCATTAAATACATTAGCTTGAATTTTTAGATACTATATATAATAAAATCAATCATCTTAAGAAAGTGAAATTGCCCTTCAATTGAAAGGGGATTGATGCCAAGTAATGAGGATGAGTTCTTTAATGATGAAAACACATTATTCCCTCAGGCTGCGCCCACAGCTGAGCTGGACCGCTCTGATGACAAAGTGTACCTCTACGTCATGGACCTGGTCAAAGTTGTTGTTCAACTCAAGAATGACATCATTGAGGCTCCGCCGGAGAAATATATCACTATTGTTAAGGTACACCAAAGAAAATAATCACATTTTCATTTAGATTTGATGTTGTTCTTCCTCTTTAGAGGCAAGGTGTATGAATGGTGATGGAAACAAATCTCTTGAGTCATACAGCTAATTCATTCTCTGCATTGATCTCCGCCCACAGTCTGTCGGGATGGCTCTACGAGATCTGATCCGCAGTGTGGATGACATACTGCCCACCTTACACGAGTCTGTGAGGACTGAGGTACACATAATGTCTGTCTTTCCTCATCTCCTTTCTACACTTCCTTTATTGATTTTTCCCTTAAAACTAAAAGTGACAAAACTCTTCTTCAAACACAAAGAGATGAAGAGCAAATGACCATTTCAAGAAAAAAAGTACATTTGTTATAAGCTGCAGTTTCTTCACAGCCATATTTATCAAACAGAATTCAATGCATGTGTTGCTCACTTGAAAAAGCAGCTGTTTATATGCACATGGGGTCAACAAAATGTAAACAAAGGACCATATATGTGCTGTATATGCAAAATGTATGGACACAATTACAATAAAAGTTGTTAATATAATGCAGTTGAGTTAAATCATTACACACCTGTTGCATTTTGGTGTTATTTGTTTTGGTTACATAATATTGTATAGGTGTGTTAATAGATTTTTGAATTATCGCAATGTAGGGGTGGCTGTGGCTCACAGAGGGAAATGGGAATTCAACCATCATTGACTTTATTATTTACACCTGTTCCCTTCTGCCACATGTAAAAATGTCTTCCAAGAAAAAGGCCAACAGTTTGTTTCCCCCCCCCCCCCACAGATAGAGGGCACCCAGAAGCTGCTGAACAACGACATGGCGGAGCTGATCAGCAAAATGCGACTGGCCCAGCAGAACTCCATCACCTCTTTGAAGGACGAGTGTAAGAAACAGCTGCTCACTGCAGCACACACTCTGGCTATGGACAGCAAGAACATGTTGGACGCTGTGGACCAGGCCAGAGTCAGGGCCAACCTAGCCAAGCCAGTGGCCCCCTAGTGGACAGTTTACACATCAAGCTAATGATTCACATTCCAGTCAGAATTAACATTTGCACACAGTTGAGCATTTTAGATGTCATCAAACTGCTTTTATTCAGGCTGTGGCAGGACGTCATCATACCTATATGTGTTGCTATGTTTTAATATTATGGTACAGCTCAGAGGAGAAGTAAGACAACTTGGAAAAAAGCGTGCGTACTTCTGTATGCCAACATTAATGATGGTCCATTGGCATCATATCTAGGATGCCACCATTTCACACTTCTTTTTTATGTAAACTTTTCTTAACGATTTAATTATCTGCTCAGAAATTGAAAAACCTTGTAAATATAAAATGTGCCTTATGAGTACTTTTGGTTTTTATAGCAGAGAAAATAAAAGTGAAATGTAAAGTTGACAAAACCAAACAGTCGGCCATTCAAATGTTCAAAAGTGTTTTATATACAGTATGAATCCCAAGTTTAACTGTGATGCATTTTATTAAAAATGATGAGATGAAGACTACAATGGCATGAATATGGATTGTCTGTCAGGAACTCTCTAATATTTCCACTATCATTATAAAATATGAATTTCTAGCACGTAAATCAAGTGTTGAAAAAATAAATATCAAGATGTATACCTCTGTAAATGTCTACTCGTTGAATCTAGATTTAGGAAGGCCAGCTGTAGGAATCATAATCTGACGCTGCTGTTAAGGTCATTTTCACACCACTCAATACATGCTATAAAGACGGCTTTTTAAAGGTTTCATGAGCTTATTTATTTCATTGTATGATAATAATAACACAAATGAAACCATGACAGTATGGCAGAAAGAAAACCTGTGTAAAAAAGGGAAATGCTTTCCAAACCAGCACAAATCACAGGTTAGTGTGTCCAGTATATTCAGGATTTCAAGTACAGCATGCCAATGATGGTCAAAACCTGTTTCCACATTTATCTCATCCAACATTTGAATGACATTGACAACATGGAGGACCATGGAATACGGTTCATTAATATTACCCAGAAGAGGAATCACCTTCAGGTCACGACAGTAGACCTCTAATTACTGAATTAAGTCATTCCTCATAGAATCATCTGTATTCATACTAAACTAAAGCTGCTGACCGGTGACTTGTAATTCAAAGTCATTTCTTGTTGATAATTGATAAAGTCATCACACTACTTTACTAGTAAATAAACAATAGCTGTAGTTTACATTTCAAAGTTTGTGATTTTTAGGGAAATTAAGGCATTACTTTGCTTGAAAGACATACATCTCATTTTAAAAACTGTTAAAACAATAATTAACATTGATCTGTGTCTCAATCTATGTTGTGTTAACAATTGAAAGAACTGAACATGGAAAATCATTAAAAAGTCAATTTAAAAAGTGTCATTCCACAAACAACGGTTACGCCTTACCCAACACTGATGCTGGTGCCATCAGATTTACTAGCAAGTTACACCTAACTTACATGCTAAAAGATACATTGTACTAAACATTGGGACATTAGCATACTGCCATTGGTATGCTAACATACCAAATCTGAGGTTGTGCTAACCATGAGCACATTACCAATTGCCAACTCTGGGCCTGTTAACATGCTAATGTTAGCATTAGGGTCAAACTCAACCTAAGTACCATTACACCTGAGGCAAAGTGCAGCTTAGAGGGATAAAAGTTGAGCCAAGTGAGTCTGAGATGTCCGCTGTACAGAAAATGCTACCTTTCGGTTTTTCCCCACTTTTGCTTTGGTGGTGCATAAAGAGCGTGATAGCCTCATGAGGCCTTTAACGCAGTATATCACACAAACGTGAAGTAGAGTTCAGCTACATTTTGAATTTCAAATTCACTAACTAATGGTGGTTATGGGTTTTTCACACATTCTCCCATGAGCTAGATCATGCCAGCTAGCCAAGGGGGTAGGAAGAGGCCGATGGTCCCAAGCAGGCACACAATAATGAACATCCACAGGAAGATGCGGTCAATCACCATGGCGACATACTTCCAATCCTCTTTCACCTGTGTAGAATAAAAGCAAAAAGAGACGGAGAGAAAACAAGAAATAAAAAAACTAAGTAACACCTCGGTTATTATTATGATGTCTTAAATCTGTCTTTGTTTTTGACAAAAGGCTGATTTTCCTCTTTAGCCTCTCAGCGTATTGCAGGTGTTAGTCATGGGGGTGTTGATGAACTTCACTATGAAATAAATCTTTAACAGGACTTCATATTCACTTGGCTGGAGAATGGAAATGTGTATTAGTGCTATAAAAATAGGCAGAAAATACATTATTGTTAGGATTTTTATAACAAACTATACAACAATGTGGCGTTTAAGTGCCATTCTGATAATAGTTGATGTAGCATTTGGCTGATACTCACGCTGAAGTCAGCATCCTCGGCCCTCAGGTGGTCTGCGATGTAGTGCACACCTTCCAGAGCACGTATAACACTTGGTGAGAGCAGGAAAGATGAGTCTGATACTGTGTTATCTCCTTTAATGGCCCTCTGAATGGTATTGAGTCTCTGTCTGTTTGCCCCCGTCGCCCCCTCCTGCTGGTTCTGGCTGTTCTGTTGGTTTTTCTGTTGGGTCGGGGGAGTGGACCCCGGAGGTCTGGGCGAAGGAGGGCGAAAGGAGAAATATGACGTCAGGGTCCCCAGCTCTAAGTCCTCATAAGAGCTTCTCTCGGGGTCCTCTGAGGATGTCCCGTCTCTTAGCCAGTTGGCCGAGGTGCTGAGGCAGTTGCCATGTTTGAACCCGGCCAATCGGGCCTGCCTCCGGTCGGCCGCCGCCTCCTGCTGCAGCAGCAACAGCCTGCGACGGCGGACATCTGGCGCGGGCCGCCGCATGAAAAGCCAGCGCGGGATCATGTCCAGGAACACGGAGTGGACCCAGCGGGGCATCTTGTGAGTGCTGGGAGAGCGATGGTGCACGTTGAGCACGAACACAGTGATGACGATGGAGAGGGTGACGAAAATCATAGTGAAGAGGAGGTACTCTCCGATCAGAGGGATGACGAGGGAGGTGGAGGGGATGATCTCGGTGATGAGGAGGAGGAAAACAGTGAGGGACAGCAGCACGGAGATGCACAGGGTGATCTTCTCCCCGCAGTCTGAGGGCAGATAGAACACCAGAACAGTGAGGCAGGAGATGAGCAGGCAGGGGATGATGAGGTTGATGGTGTAAAACAGGGGCAGCCTCCGAATGATGAAAAAGTAGGTGATGTCTGGGTAGATCTCGTGGCAGCAGTCGTATTTCTTGGTGTTGTACGTCCCCACTGCGTTGATGATGGCCCATTCGCCGCTCTCCCAGTAGTTGTTCAGGTCCACTGCTTCCGTTTTCTCCAGGTCAATCTTGGCCTTGTCGTACGTCCACGAGCCAAATTTCATTTTGCAGTTCTGTTGGTCGAAGGGGAAGAAGGTGACGTCGATGCTGCAGGAGCTTTTGTAGATGGCAGGAGGCACCCAGCGGACTTTACCGTTGTGGAATAGGTGAGCTTTGGTCATGTGGGTCACAGCAAACTCGCCATCAGCGCTGGAAAAGAAGAAGTGGTCATAAAACATAACAGTTTGAATATCTTGGATCAGAGGCTAAAAAAGCAAATCAACAATCTGATCCTACCACACCCTGTGCTGAGAAATTATTTTATCTTAATTTAGAAAAATAGTATTCCCACTAATAATCTTCTCCAGTAATCTCCCCTTCACTCAACGCTTTAATGGTGATAATAGCTCCTGCTGAAAACCTAATGATGAGCCGTTATCATTTCATCGGCTTCCCACCTTTTTTAATTTCACTTACAGGTTGTGATTAGACTGGCTTAATGGAGCAGAACCCAATCATCAACTCACCGGGTTTAATCTCCGAGAGGTGGATTTAGGAGATTTATTTAACAATAGATTCTCACAGAGGCAATTCACATTTCAAGGCTGTCTTCATTTTGAAATAAATAACATGAGTCAACATATATTAGCAGAGATTCACAATGTATAAATATATAATTAATAGAAAACAGCTTACAATTTGAGACAGGAAGAGCTGTTCATGGTAGGTGTAGAAATGTTAAGAGCAGTAAAATGTATTTTTTGTATCACTAGATGGCACCATTCTCATATCATACACCTTCCAGCAAAGAGGCATCAATTTAAACTATTTATTCACTGGATGAGTGTGGCTGTTACTCTTCTTTTAAATGTTTCTACAACTCTGTTACAAGCATCCACTGTGGCATTATATGAACAGTTTTAGTATAAATTGTTAAAAACTTGTCTAGACCTGATCACAAATGAATTATAATGCTTATTTGAAGTTAAGCTGAATAGATATGTCATTAATAGGTTAACTGATCCACAGAAAGTTGATTAGTAACTATTTAAATAATCAATTTATAATTTAAGCATAAAAAAATGCATTGAAAAAATTGATATAAGCTTCTCAGATGTAAATACTGTATGTATGGTTTTATCTCATCCTTTATGACTTTAGGGTTTGGACTGTTTAACACTTTAATATGTCATCCTAAACTCTTGGAGATTTTGATTGTTAACCTTTTTTTTTTTAAATGTTAGACCAATGGATTAATCCGTCTATCAAGAGAATTGTCTCTTGCCACACTTACTTGTTGTAGAGGACGATGTCTGGCACCCATAAGAGCTCTGACGGCACTCTGATGGACGTCACATTGTCGTAATCGGACGGTTTCCAGCGAAGTTTGTAGTCATTCCACTCCTGACACATACAAACAAGAAGGGTAGGATCCTTTATTGTCCTATAAGCAAATCAATGCCTCATAATCTTTGTCAAATGAGCACTGTAGATGTAGGTTTGTATATTCGTAGTGTTTGTCATGACGAGATACAGTTGAAGAAAAAGGAATCTTATTAATAAAGCAACACTGACACAGTTTTCTGACCTGTTTAAGCCACACGTTGGTTGTCATCATTTGGTTCTTCTCATCCTAGAGAGAGAGAGAGAGAGAGAGAGAGAGAGAGAGAGAGAGAGAGAGAGAGAGAGAGAGAGAGTAGAGAGAGAGAGAGAGAGAGAGAGAGAGAGAGAGAGAGAGAGAGAGAGAGAGAGAGAGAGAGAGAGAGAGAGAGAGAGACTCAGGCCAGAGGAATATATGAGAGCCATTCTTGGAGTTTTGTCAAAGCAAGACCCAAATATAGCTTGTAGCAACTTTACTTCAATAAGGTGATGGATGTGAAGAGTTCTGTGACAGGGCAGAAGGCGGTGCATAATCTAGTTTTCCTAAATTTGTTTTTGCTACTGTATTAAAAAATGCCAAAACATACTATTGCAAAACACACATTGGGTGTAAAAACTGTCAGGGAAAAGATGGTTAAAAGTTGCAGTGTCATAATAGCAAGAACAAATGCCAGGAGATTGGCCGAGGAGGGCTACCACGGGAATATAAAAAAAAGGAGCCCTTTGGATCCAGTGACGCATCATGAGACCAAAACAGAGGTTAGACTTTGCTTTGTGATTAATAATTCATAACCTGAAATTACTAAGGCACACACTTTGCAAAAATCTTTAATAAATTGTCTTAGTAACTCTGTGTTTCAACTCCAACTTCAGTTGAGTAAGTGAGCACCCCATACGAAAGGATATATAATGCTTTAATTTTCTACCTTATTATTTTTTTATATTATCGTCTTAGATTTCAAATGTTATTGATTCTTTATGATGGACTTGCTTACCTTCCAGATATTGATCCCTTGTTATAAATTGACCCTAGTACTAACACACCCACTTTATTG